AGGCTGAGGGTAACGTATACTTGCAGCGATTTGTGGAAGACAAGGGCAGAGAGATTGGGAAAATCGAGGGTGCATGAAGGTGAGCACATAAATTCAGAGAAATGAAGATCTTCTAAGATCAGTCTGTGATGGCGACAAGGAGTCTCTGCTCTGAAAGGCAGAGGAGGCACTCTGAATGTGGGAAGTTGGTTCGCTTCTTCCTCTCCACCGATCCTACCCTCTGAGCTTACAGCAGACCGGGAGCACCCTGTCCATCAGCTGCGGAGGGTGGAAGTCTGGGAGCTTGGAGAGGATGGGCTGCCTCCCCTAAGTGTCGCTTCCTGCGTCTCCATGATGGTGACACGGAAGTGGTAAGAGAGTCACGGGGTCAGTGGGTTCTGCCCTGTTTTCAACTCCCAGAGTCACAAGGTTCATTTCTGACCCAGCCTTTGGGACATCCTGTCCTTCCCAAACGCATCTGGGAATAAAAGCTTGACACTGCAGGAATCGGGTCCCTTCTCAGGTTCTAGAGTCTGTTCTCTAAAAACCACGGAGGGAACGGTTATTACTCAGACTGGTGGTTTCCGACCGACAATTGTCACTGTGAAGAATGACCCTGACGTGACTCTGTGAGTGTCTAAGAGAAAAATCATGATCCATTTGATGGTTGGCTGTCAGCACTTCCGTTCCATTTTTCTGGTTAGACGTTAAGATGAGCATCATGAAATTCTACGTGAGAGTGTAATTAATAATACTCCTGCTCGCTGATGCTGAAGACTCTTCACAACCACTCCAATACGGTCCGTTCAGGTATTAGCACAAATGTATTAAGTTGGGAGCGAGATGCCAGGCTCTGTGCTGGGCGGTAGGAGAGCTCCCTCCAGGGTACTACGTGCCTCGAATTTACCTCTCCGCTGACTTTGTTCCACCCCACCTCTCCTTTCTGTACCTCCCCACCATCCACACCTACCGCCATCGCCTTCCTGGTGAAAAGGCAAAAATTAGCTCACATACCGAGGAAGGAAGAGCCTCCTGGCCGCTCATCAGGCTGGAACGACAGACCCAGCCAGCCGCAAAGCTGACAGGAAACAAGTGTTCTTCCCAAGGACACCCTGCAGCTCTAATGGGTCGTAACAACCCCTTCCTGGAGTGACTCACTGAGAACCTTTTGTTCCCTGAAGTCGTGGACGGGCAGGACGTCCTTCTGAATGAAATCGTGGCAGGAAGAGTGGGACTTCCGCCTTCCACCCGGAGGACCCGGTCCCTCTTTGACTCCGAGAAGCAGTGGCGATTTACAAGACCGGCGCAGAGCTTCCGATAAAAGGCTTGCGGGCGCCACGTTCTCCAGCCACCTTAACTTTGTTGTTTCCATGGAAACCCTTTTCAGTCTAAGCTTGATCTTAGCTTGTACACTACACTACTTTGCCTATCAAAACCCTGCTTCCCTCAGATTTCATCCAAACTACCCACCTTCCCCAGAGTCCTCAATGCCTCTATTTTTCTTCCCTCTCATTTGGCAAAACGCCCCCTAGGGGAGCCTCTCCCTCCCTGCAGCGGATCAGTAAACCCAGGTGTGTCAGACGATCAGCTGTTCCTGGTCAGTTTAAGATCACCGGGCTAGGACCCTGGACGCCTGACGTTTATTCTGCCACAAATAGAACGAATTTCCCCAGTGGTTGGCAGAACAGCCACAAGGTCCATCACCCACACTTACATATATCTTTCTATTTTCTTCCCAAAGTATTTAGAAACTAGACTGTCTACCTTTATTAGGGACGTTAACACATGAAATGGAATCTTAGAATTATACAGACCTTGCACCGGGGCAGCCAAGAGAAGTCTAGATGTTCACGTCAATTTGGAAATAATTACCCGAGACCAGGGATCACAAGTATTTCCTGCAAAGGGGCAGGTGTAAACATCCGAGGCGTCATCACAACTGGTTAATCCTACTGTGCGGCGCAGAAGCGGCTGTACGCAACGTACGAATGATGAGCGCGGGTGAGTTCCATTAAAACTTTATTGACCAAAACAAGCAGTGGGCCGGATTGGGCTCAGGGGTGACAGCGCCCTGACCCCTGCCCTGGACCACGATGATAACACAGAGTCGGTTTGTGAGTTTGCTGTTTGTCTTCTCCATCGAGGTGTATGTCAAGTATTTCTCGAGAGCCTAGAGAAAGAAGAAAGACTGAAATCGGAGGGACTTCGTGAATCCCCGGAAAAGGACACATTCCTGATCCATGGCAATGATGAAGGACCGTGAGAGTCAGTGGATGTTTGGTCCAGACACTGCTTGGTACTTTTCACAGAATGGCACATCCTCACAGCCCTGCCAGGTGGGCGTTTAAATCTCCCTGTTACATGTAGGGAAATCTGAGCCCCAGAGTAATTATACATCTTTCCCAGAGTCATGAAACTATTAAATGGAGACACCATGTGCCCTGTAAGCACACCTTAGAAAGACAGTAACCTCCTTGGGGTAGGGTATCAAAGAACCCATAAAGAGGAATTAAAAAGTTAAGGTCTGTAGTAAATGAACATCTTCAGACTGGAAGGGACCTCTAAATCTCCTATAATTAAAAGTCCAGCCTTTGGGGAAAACCACACCTGAGCCGTTAGGAGTGATGGCGTAGAGAGGGCAGGTAAATGAGACAAGAGCCGAATTCAGCTCTCCTGGCTCCCAGCCCTTCCTCCTGACCATGGACTGAATTTCCCCTTCAACCACAGGGTAAAAAAAAATAATTGGATTTCTCAAAGTCTTACGCATGTGTAACTGGCAATTCAAAAGAACCTGTCATATTTAACTTCATCCTCATCTGACCCAGGGGGATGAAAATGAAATAACGAAGCCCAGAACAATGCTGGCCCCAGGCTCCGACGGCCCCCCAGTGCTCCCGTCTCCTCCCCGCACTGTAATTGCGCTGCCGCAGCAAATAAAGGGGGCGAGAGCTTGCTGCCGAGCCGGGCTGAATACAAAACGAAGCCTCCTCTCCCACAATTAATCTTTCCTGCTTTCCGCAGGCACCATCCTCCGCAATGCTCATTTCATCGTTTGGCTGGGACTTTCCCTTCTGTTATTGCCATCACTGTCTTGGTTTTTGGAAAAGAAGGGAAGAAAAAAATCCACGGCACTTGGACCCTACATGCGAGGGCAGCTAAGCTTTGCGTGAGTCACGTCCCATGTAAAATTCATGCCGTTTTCTGCCTCTTTCAACCGGACCATCATTTCCATCCCTAAAGAACTTAGGAAAAGCAAAGCCAACCTGTACTGTTTCTAAACCCCACTCTTTTTCCTCATTCATACTTAAGATCAGTTTCTAATGAGTGGAACACTTTTTTTGTTTAAGAGAACACCAAAAACATCGTGTGACTGTAGACTTCCCATTTACGTACTGAAGGAACCCAGTATTTCTGAACATCTTTACCCTGCACTGATGTGGTTGCCATGGGAACTGTAACATTAAGCCGGGCAGTTACTTACTTCCACATTACATAATATTATCTAATGCTTAGTTACTCTTGAACAAACGTGTTTATCCAGTAGCTTTTGGTCCATGTAATCAACCATGTCTGCTTTGATTTGATTAAACAAGGAGCCGGGGCGTAAAACCATCTCTTGCCGTGCACTCGGTGCCTGCTACTCATCCAGAAAATGACATGCGCCATATTTGCCAGAGAGACTGCGTGTGAAGTTGCAGGAAGGGGTTCTGGTATTGCTGACACAGAACGTAGTTATGGATTAAAGTTACTGAGATTAGAAGATATGAGTCCGGAAACCAGAGCAGAAACATTTAAGAAGAAATTCCAATCGTTTTGAGCTTTCTTCTTTTTAACAAAAGAGGGAGGAGAGAGCACCGACTCTCGGGGAGTCTGTATGTGTTGGTAAGGATATTTTAATTTTAATTTTATTTTTTTTGAAGTGTAGTTGATTTAGTTTCAGGTGTACAGCGAAGTGATTCAGTTATACACATACATGTATATGTGTTTTATTTTTACACATTGATATATTTTTTCAGATTCTTTTCCATTATAGCTTATTATAAGATATTGACTGTAATTCCCATGCTATACAGTAGGTCCTTGTTGTTCATCTACTTTATACACAGTAGTTTGTAGCTGTTAATCCCAAACTCCTAGTTTATCCCTCACCCCCTTCCCCCTTTGGTAACCATAGTTTGTATTCTATCCATGGGCCTATTTCTAGTTTGTAAATAACATTTGTAAGGTATTTTAGGGTGGAAAATGTTTGCCATTAAAACCCTTGTTCCAGGGAGGAACGAGATTGCCCGGGTCAGCGGTGGGCTCTGTCCCGTGGTCATTACTGCTTTACACGTTATTTGTGAGACCATAACTGACAGCCAATTCCAGTTCTCAATGGCCTGTTAGTCATGGCACCAGGCAGTCTCTGTTTTCTCTTCTGACTCATTTTAACACATACTTTCGACTATTTATCAATGAGTGACAATAATGGAGCACCCAGACGATATAAGAAGCTTGCTGAGACAAAATTCTTTAAGTATCCAAACTTGCTGCTGCCCGTAGGTGGGGTCTGCTGTCTACACACAGCAAGATCTCCAGGAACTGATCCTCCATCTCCTTCCCTCCTTCCTTCCTTCCTTCCTCCCCCTCCTCTTCCTCCTCTTCTCCTTCTTCTTTCTCTCCCTTCCTTCCTTCTTCCTTCCTTCCTTTCTTTTTTTCTTTATTTTCATCTATCTTTCTGAAATACTCAGTGCTCTAGATAGATGTTAAAAGGATTTACTGAGAAATGAACTAAACTTCCTACACTAGCTTTTTAAAAACACGTCACTAAATATTTGTATAATTAACCTATTTAGTGAGTTTCCGATGTCCTCTTAAAGCTCATGTTTACTAAAGACACAATGACAATGTGCAAATTATTTTAGAAAAAAAAGATAGGTAAGCTAAAGTCCATTAAAACCACTCAAAACTCTCCCTGCCCCTAGTTACAACTTGCGCTATTTTCATGCCAATGGAAATAGCACTTACTTAGAGATTCTGAAAGAATGACTCTTGTTCCGATTTGGTCTGTAACTCCTTTTTTCCTGTATTTTCTTCTATCTGTTGATTCTCTGCTGTTCTGCATTAGCAAGTCATTTTATTTCAGCATCTTAATTTTCTTTGCAGGTAACCCTTAGTCTGTACCCGCAAAAACTTAAAGTTGACTTTTCCTACTTTCTAGAGGTTCCACGTCCCGAAGATTCTCTCTCCTTTCCCCTGTTGCTGCTCCCACCTGCTCTGAGCTGGCCAGCGCGTGCTGCTTCACACAGCTTCCTTCCTCACCCTCTGGGCACCGTGGCCTCCCACCCCGCTCACCTGCCAATATAAGACGCAGTTCA